TGTTAGGCATTTAGGTTGAATCCAGTTTTTTAGTTTAAAAAGAAATATTTCAGTGGTATTCTTCTATATTAATATTTTTCTAATATCCTTAATTATTTTACAATAAATTCCTAGAAATAGAGCTGCTGGGTCAAAAGTATGCAGAAGGAACTGAAGACCTGTTACATAAATGCAGGAGCCAAATATGCTCCCACACTTTCTCCTCTTAATCACTGCCCCAGTTAGCAGGAAATTTAGTACCTTCCTCTTCAGGCAGTCTCCTCCTCCAAGTTTGAACTTCAGGAGACTTACTCAGTCCCAGAGTAGTCCCATTCTCTTACAACTACCCAGAAGAAAAGTGCAGTAAGTATAATTGTACACTGTTTATCCTTCTTCTCTTTATCACTTTCTGTCAGTGTTGAAGACCAGCCCTTTGTTGATAGTTGCTTGTCTGAGTGCTACTAGGATACCCGTTTAGGTCAGACCTGGCCCAGGTCAAAGTAGTGACCCCAGTTGGAGGTTAAGATTGCAGTTTATTAGTTCACACGCTTATACTCAACGATTCCATGTGCCAGGGAGGCTGAGGTCAGAGACGCTTCTGGCCTCTGCCTCATGCTGGGCCAGAATCTGTCCTTCCTAATAAACGCATAAGCCCTCTGTATGACCCTGGATCACCAGTTTCAATTAATCCATCTTCAAAGTCATTTTCTTTCAGGAGTGTTTCTGCCTGTTCTTGCCAGTGGAACTTGGTTTGGGCTATAAGTTTTTTCTATGACAGAACTCCTTAAATTTGAATCTGGGGAATCAAAGATTGGGGTAATGTTTCTTCCCTTCCAGAAGGATTTAGGGTACTGGAAAATTGGTCTCAGCAACTCTAGCAATTAATTTTGCAGATCAAGAGTGTAAGGTATGTTTTTCTAAGCCATGCAACTTCCCCCTCCCTGTGAGCCCCTTTTCCCTGAGTCCTGAGGACGGTGGAGCCTACCCTTTGCCTAACTTGTTCAACAGAATGGCCCATACCAAGGTGACCTCGGGTCTCCACCCCTAAACATAAGAGAGACTGTCATAATTTTTAAACGTTCCCTTCCAAAGAGCATCTCATTTAATCTCTGCCTTAACAGATGCCTGTTACACACTTTTAAGGCTTATGGTATGTATTGCCAGTTGTTCTCTAGAGAGGTTGCACCAGTTTACACTTCCACCAGAAAAAAATAGATTGCTAGGAAAAGACTTTTAAAAGCCAAACTGTGTTGTTAAATGTCACTGATAATTAGAATTGTTTTAATATTAAAGGAAACACAAACTTAAATCCCAATATTTCTTGGTTATTTGCCAGATACTCATTTTATTTGGCCACAGAATTGTGATCTGTAGCATCTCAAATAATGTCAGTCAGTCAGTCAGTCAGTCAGCCAGTTATTTGTTTATTTATTTATGGCTGTGTTGGGTCTTCGTTGCTGCGCATGGGCTTTCTCTAGTTGTGGCGAGCGGGGGCTACTCTTCACTGTGGTGCACAGGCTTCTCATTGTGGTGGCTTCTCTTGTTGTGGAGCACGGGCTCTAGGCGCGTGGGCTTCAGTAGTTGTGACATACAGGCTTAGTAGTTGTGGCACACAGGCTTAGTTGTTCCGCGGCATGTGGGATCTTCCCAGACTAGGGCTCGAACCCGTGTCCCCTGCATTGGCAGGCAGATTTTTAACCACTGCGCCACCAGGGAAGTCCCTCATTGTGTTTTTAAATTCGCTTTTGGTGAAGGCAGGAGAGGGTACTCATTTACTAAAGGTCTCCTGAGTGCAAGGTGCTTAATGTATGATACCTAATATAATCCTCACAACAAACCTGTGTTGTTACTATTCCCATTTTAGATGATATTGTTACTCTATTTTATAGATAAAGAAAAGAGAGGTAGTAAATTTCCTAAAGTCACACAGCAAGTAAAGGTTGATGTTCCCCTAAGAAAGCCCTATCTAGGACTAGATGAACAATCCCCCAGAGAAACAACTTTGATTATTAGCCTCTTACTCTCTTACCATCTCCAAAGTGAAAGCAATCTCCAGGGCCTCCTGCTCATAGGTGCAGGCTTTGCGCAGAGTTTGCAAGGAGTTAGGGCCAACTGCAAAGGGAGAGGGCACAGTCTTATACACTTCTTTCACTTCTGACACCAATTGCAAGTTGGAAGGGGTTCCCTCAAATCACGCTTGGGTTCGATGATTCTCTAGAAGGACTCACAGAACTCACTAAACACTGTTATACTGAGAGTCATGATTTATTACAGGGAAAGGATACAGATTAAAATCAGCCAAGGGAAAAGCGCATAAGACAGGGTCCGGGAGAAGTACAAAACGCAGAGCTTCTCTTATCCTCTGTGGAGTCAGGACGCATACTCTTCCGGCATTGATGCGTGGTGATACACATGGAATACTTCCAACCAAGGAAGCTCTCCCAGTCCTGAGTTCAGAGTTTTTAATGAGGGCTTTATGATTGATGGCCCACATGGTTGATCTCATTCTCCAGCTTGACTGACACTGTGACCCAAAACCCCACCCTAAGTCACATTGGTACTCTCTGGCTAGCCCAAGGCTCCCAGACAAAGAAAATTACCCCCTAGGAGCTGGAGGCAAAAGTCAGACCTCTTCTGGGGCGCAAGATTAAATTCTTTTCTACACTGGGTCTCAGCCTTGTTGAGTGCCCTTCCTCTTCTTGGCCGCATGTGCCATCTTCCGCGTGGTGGGTCGCGAGGTGCCTGGTCCCTGCAGCTTATGCTGTTTGGACGCTGGCAAGGAGGCTGAGACACACATGTGAATATGGGTGAGTGCCAGGAGAGTGAACGTCTACTCTCCTGTTAAACCTGGAACTGTCCTGGGATTGAATGGCAATATAACAGCATCCATATGGCATCAATGAAATCATTAAATGACTTGAATGCTTAGAGGCAAATTTTTCCTCGTATTAAAAATATATAATTCAATTAACTTATTAAGATAAACATCAGTATAATTAACCCTCCAAACATACACACACCCCACCCCCACGCAAAGTAAATATGTATATATCTATATGTCACTGTGCTGAGGTCATATTTCATCCTAATGTTATATCATTCCTATGTGAGTTTACCTGAGTTGGTAGTTTTCCTAAATAATTGCTCATTCATATACCGACAGTCCTCATTATTCTTGATTCTGTTTGTGTTTGCAGATTTGCTTACTTGCTAGCATTTATTTGTAACCCTTTTAAAATAAATACCTGTGACACTTTCATAGTCATTCGCTAACATTTATAGAGTGGCAAATTGAGTTGCATGACCTGAATATTCCGGGCTGGGGTTGAGCAAGGCCACTCTGCCTTCTTTGTTTTAGCTCTTATACTGTTAACAAGTGTTCTTTTCATAGCCTATTTAGTGCCACATTTTTTGCATTTTTGTGACTTTTTATTGGTGATTTTACTTTTTAAAATGGCCCCTAAGCATAGTGTCAAAATCCTGTCTGGTGCTTCTAAGTGCAAGAAGACAGCAATGTTATCTTGAAGACAGTAATGTTATCTTGCAGAGAAAATACATGTGTCAGGTAAGTTTCACTGAGGCATGAGTTATAGTACAGTTGGCTGTGAGTTCAATGTTTATGAATCAACAATATATACTAAATAAGGTGTGTTTAAACAAAAATACACAGAAAACAAAGTTATGTATTGATTGGTTGATGAAAATGTTGTGACCAGAGGCTCACAGGAACCTAACTTGTGTTTCCCCAGGTGCAGTGGTTCAGTATTGGTTAATTCAGTGTTTATGGTGATGTTGTAGAATATAACTACTGTGAATAATGAGAGTCAGCTGTATTTGCTGCATTACTTCATTCATTTATTCATGTAATCTTTTATTCATTCTTTGAGAAAACATATATGAAAACTTCTCCTGGGTGCCAAGCAATTTCTACATGACATAGAATTTCCCTTTTATGTTCTTTTGCCCATCATCAGTAGTCTTACTGTAGCCCTCTGACTCAAAGTATTTGTGTGGTTTATGATAACACATCATAAATGAAGTGTGAGATTGCATTTTAAAGGTTGGGGGTTGGGGGCTGAATGTTTCGAGTCTGTGACCATTTTAATGTGAGCTACCTATACAAGAAATCACCCTCCTCAATAAACTTCCCAGTTTTCTTGCCTCCTTGGAGACCACGATTTTTAGGATCAGATTCCTCAGTGGGTTTCTGTTGGATGCCAGCAGAGCCAGGTGATGTGTCTGGCCACACCTCCCCACACCAAAATGCTGTGTCTGCTGGTTTGGCTATATGGCCTTGCAGGCAGGGCTTTGTGCTGGCAAGATTATTCCTCAGCTGTGCTTCACAGATGAGAAGCCAGACCACGCTGTCCCCTCTCCTTTCTCCACTTCCCCCGTCTCCCTCGTGTGCTTGTATTTCCATCTCTCTCCACTGCCTCTTCACACTGTCTCCTAACTCACATTCAAGCAGAGTGAGGGGAAATGGACCTGGAGAGCACATGTTCACCTCATGTTCTTTGTGGCTCTCTAGATACACTGTCCTACATTGAAGTGCTGCTCATTTCCTGGTTTTGATTGTCCAGGATGTATGAGGACTAAGGTCTGTACCTTGCTGTTCTTCTCTCTTGATGTTAGTAAAAGTTTCACTGGACTCCCCCAAATGTGATGGAGGGAAATATAGAAAAGTTCCAATGATTTCAGGGATCTTTCAGTGGAATGATCATAGAATTAAGCCCAAAGACCTTGTTGATATTACCTCAGTGACAGCAGTAAAAATTAAGCGTGACGTTTTTATGTGATAAGCAGTTGAATAAATACAGTAACTTTCTTTGAACATCTTTGTGAAATTGTCCTCCAAGGAAGGGAGGAGCAAGATTAAAAAACCTTTGAATGCCCTTTAGTGCCTAATACGATGCCTAGAACAAGTAGACCTCAACAAATATGTACTAAATGAATTAATGATTAAAATATCTCATTTAAAATATAACTATTCAATAATGTTAATTTGATGTTTATTCTTTCAGATACAGATGAATATAGACCTCCTGTTTGGAAATCTTACTGTAAGTATACAAATAAATTGGGTGGGTTATAGTGCTTTATAAGTAATATAAAAATATCAGGAACATTAGATATGAAGAGTCATTCCATTTTGTGTCCATTATTGAAAAATTAATTCACAACAGAATTTGTGAATAGCACAGAAAAAGAAACTGGGGAAATAGGAGCATTTCCACAAAGTCTGTCATGGTTTGCATGTCAGGAATGCATCTCATCCCTCTGAACTCGCATGGAATTCCGTGTTATGGAACTTGAGACCACTTGTTGACAGTGGCTGATAAAACTAATGCAAGGAGAAGCTAACTAAGAATTCAAGGAATCTAATATTCTTAGATCCTGTTTTTTATATTAAAAAAGGAATAAATAAATAATGATAAGTCAGGAGCCTATCTTACTAGAAAGAATGAGTAAAAAGTGGTCTTCTTTTTTAGGAATTGCCTTCCAAAATATAAAAGAGAGACACTGAATCTATATTGTTCTTTAAACTTGGCATTAGAATACAGATTTTTTTCTGAAGAGTCTAGGTTCTTAGTCCTTTATTTCCCCTTCCTTGTTGCCTAGAGAATATTATTGCATCAAGTAAAAGCTACTTCAGAATTTTAAAAAATGGAAATAGGGTTAATATAATCAGAGTTGTTTTTTAAAAATCCATGAATGCACTGTTGCAGAAACCAGTACTGTAAACTTTTGTTTGTTGTCTGTAGAGTCAAATAAGCAACCTAAAAAACCTGTACTTTAAATACAGATTATTAGCATCTTGGTAAATGTTGAGTTATTCTGAATTTTGATATTTGTAAGTTGCTGAAATCTGCTGACTGAAAGAGCAGCAATTCAGATTCTTACTTGGTTTTATGTTCCCAGAGCAACAGAGAGTTTATTGTAATAGGTTGCCACTGGGGGCTAATTATAGTAAGCAAAATATGAACAGTCTCTAAAAATATTGCCATAGATGCGTTTTCCCCCACCCCTGCTGCTTCTGTTTTGATTCTGGGGAGTATAGTTCAAAGAATGTATAAAAATGACTGATGATCTTTACCTCTCAAAGATTTTGTCTCATAACCTCATTGGCGGGAAGCCTGTTTAAAATTCTTCTCTGCATTTTCTGGTTTTCAGTTTACCTTTATTCTCTTTGCTCTGATTTGTGCCTTGCACATTTTAATGTAAGAGCATTTATAAAACCTCAGACTGTTATTGAATCATGGTGGTGATTTTTCCCCCGAAGAATATTGATTACTAAATGTGGTGTATGCAATTTGTATTTTCTGTATCTTCCTATGTCTTATAGTAGCTACCATTTGTCTTAAAAATGGCATATTTCTTTTTTTTTTGGTGATAATACTGAGTTTTATAGTTTCTTTTAGTGACTTCAGTGCCTGAAGAACACTGCCACCCCCCATCATTTTAACAGTAGAAACAGGGAGGAAATTATTAGAATAGACTTTATTTTCTGACCATCAAAGGCAAAAACTTCCAGTTCAGTGAAATTTTATGATTAAACTGTGCTAAAGCCACGCAGAAAGGTCCATATTTAAAACTGGTCATGTGAAATTTCCTTATGACATCATGATGTTGTCTTCTAAGAATTTGTATATGTGCAAATTTTAACTAACGAGAAAACATGTAAAAGTTACATTGTCACATTGAAATAGTTGTTGCGATGATCATTTAGATTGTTAAATGTGTTTGTCAAAATTCTGATCCTAGAAAAAATTGGGATGTAGGTTGAATTCTTTTTTCTTTTTGTTTGTTTGTTTTGCCTTTACCACTCGGTCAGTTTTATAGTTTTATGTCTAGCTAGCTGTAAATAATCTCCAGTAAGGTATTTATTAATAAAATTCATCTTTATTAATGAAGTTCATCTGTCCCAGAGTCTGTACGTTTTAATAGGAAAAAATTTTTAAACTGACAAACCTGTGACACCCGTATTTCATCAATAGTGACTGAAATTTTAAGTTACTGGAGTAGTAGGCCCTGCCCAGTACCCTCTATGATTGAGCCATGACATTTTGTTTAATTCCTATATATGCCTTGATCAGAGTTGATAGTTAACAAATTCTGTTTGATCGTCTTTGGGACTGACAAACCATAATGCATTCGTCATCTTCTCTGTATTGTGACTTAAATTTTTGTAATTAAAATACTCCTCAAAATGGTGATAAAATCTAAATGGATTGAGATTTTTAAAAAATCAGGTATGTCAGTCCACATAAGGAGATACAAGCAGAATGAAAGCTATTCAGAATGTTCTGATTGTTCACTTCTATTCTGTACTACATCTGTAAAACTGAAGGGGACAGTTACATTTTCATGTCAAAAGTTGAAGCATGTTAAGGATTTTTTTTTTCTGTCTTTAGCTTGTTGGGGTCTGAACAGCTTTTCACAGTGTGATTCTATGAGAAACTTACTTTCACTGTGATTCTGTAAGAAACTTATTTTACCCATGCCTCTCTTGTGCTTTCTGATTTTGGTTTAGTTGAGCTTGTGAAAACATAATTCTGAAACCTTACAAGTTCAAACCAATAATTAAATAGAATTAGCAAGATTCTAAGTTGAGAACTCTTTTAAGACAAGTACAGTTTTGTTGCTTTTCAATATGTATTGCTTGAATTAAACCAGGGGCCAAACATGTAATAAATGAGGCAAGTGAGGCAGGTGGGGACTGTGAGAAAGCAGAGAGAGGATGCCCTGTACGTAGGGAGTAGCTCATAGTTAGCTCCCCTTTACTGTGGGTATCTAACACTCTGAGTCCAGTGTTGTCACATCTTCTAAGTTTTCAAGAGAAGCTGGAATTCTCTTTTGCTTTTGTTGTTGTTGTTAAATCTCTTAATTTTTAAATGTTAAAAACAAATTTGAATTTGGAAAACAGCAAACCAAACAACACATGTGAGCCAGTTTTGACCTCAAGATACCAACTTGTGATCTCTGAACTTGATTAACAATGTATTGTCTCTAGATACTGAGAATTTCATTAATAAGTGCATAAACATTGACACTTCTAAGGTGATTGAAAAATGTTGAGTACTTTAATTATATGTCTTCTCATCTTGAAGTTAGCTATTAATTTTTGGTGAATCATTTAATGATTGTGCAATTTAAATTTTCAGCTGAGTTCTGGTTTAAATGACAAAAAAACTATAAATTGAGAAGGGCCTGAATTAATTACTCTATTACAATGTATGATTTTTTAATGATCCTTTTGATGGGTATTCCCTGAATTCATGTTATATTCAGTTATACAATATCCAAAGGCCCTCCCTTTATATATATTTTTATTAAAAGTGAGTCTTAAAGATAGACTAACCATTGGTAGCCAATAAGGAGGCATTTGTCTAAAAATTACTCCTCTCCATGAAATAGAACTATACTCATTGAAACTCTGATTAAAACAAAGGGTGAAATTCTCACGTGATGATATTTCACTCTTTTTTTCATACTGGCTTATCTTAATATTTGCTTGCTGAATAGGTAAATGCATTATTGGTGATAACCAGATACTACAGTATTTGTGCTTTGAATCAAAAATCAACATTTTACTTTCTGTAGTAACTTTTAATGTCCTTCTTGACCACCATTCAGTTTTCGTAATTCAGTTTCTATAGGTGACCCTACTTTCCAAAGCATTTGCTTGACAAAGGGAAACAATTGATCTTTTGAGAATTGCTGATCAAAACAGAAATGTGAACTGAATTTTCATATCTTAGAGTGATAGTTACCAACAGGGAGGAATGGACCTGAAGCATGGACCTTTTTGCATATCATGGTTTGGTTCTCTTGGGAGGATGGAGATTTACAAATATCTCTGAGTGGTACGCATGTGCTCTCACTGTCAGGGCCAGACAAATTTAGTTTCAGTGCTTTCTTTCTTCCCTTCCCCATCTCAAAATTATTCCCTTCATATCGTCTCTTTAATCCATACAAATATATTCACAGTAGTATTTTTGAAAAACTAACTCTCACAGTAAAATATGGGTATCTAAAACTATTTTAATATGTTACGTCTCGTAGGGATTTTTGCAACCAGGAAGATAAGGCAAAGGAATACATTTCTCTCAGTAGATTTCAAACATTATTAAATGAGAAGTGTTTTGTTTATTTTTTGATTCTTAAACAGTAAAGCTGTATCTTCTTAGCACCTTTTAAATTATAGCATTACCATGTTGTTATGTTTTGGTGATGAACTGTGGATGCATCCTGGTACCCAAATATTATTGTAAAGAATTTTATGTATTAGTATCAGTCACCTACATATAATAATAGCTAGTCTTTATTGAGTGTTTACCATGTGCCGGGGACTATTTTAAGTCTTTCACATATAGTATTTAATCCTTTCAGTAATCTATGAAGTAGAAACTATTTTTATCCCCATTTTCAAATGATGAAAGCCGAGGCTCAGTATGCATTGTTAGAGGCAGAGCCCCAGTGTTCAGACCCCAGGTGGTCTGGTTCAGGAATTCAGATTTGCAACTGCAATACTCTGTTGCCTTTACATAGCAATACAGAACACTGATGTGTGTCTGTGTATGTTCTCAGTATATTTAGTGTATGTATACACACATATACATATACATAGTCTAATTGTATATGTTTATATATGTCCCTATACTATATATGAATGAATATGATCAGAGGTGGAGTCTATATAATGACAGTTGAAACGTGAGCCATACATCGTCTGACAACCCCAGATGCTGGGTAGTTTGATGTTATATTGACCAAATGTCTATGTATTTAAATACAGTATTAAATTCAATTATATGTGATTATATGTGTAGAAATAGAAAACAGATTTTCTCCAAGAGATAAACTCAGACCTACGTAAACACACTTTCTCTGATAACTACACATTCTATTCATTTTTTCTTTATTTTAAGTCAAGAAGCCTGAAGTGAGTCTTAGAAGGACATGGTATTGGTATAATTTTCACCAATCCATTTTCAGATACCCTAAAAATTATCCTCTGGCAAGCTATTTAAGTGTCTGAATTCTCTCTTTTGCTACATTTACCCTAGTTGAATAAGTGGTGGTAACTTTGGCTCAGAAATTTTGTTTCTAGGGGAGATTATCTTTGAAGATAGATGTTCACAATATAAATAGGGGAGAAAAACAGTGTATGTGTTACATCTAGCCTATAAATCCTAATTTTAGTTTCAAGTTTGACGCTTAATAATGTACTTTTAAAATATACAACTGGTATTTGTTTATAGCAGAGCCATGCTTTATGTAATATATCCACAAAAATCGGGGAAACTAAATGACCAGATTATGGAGAACAGAGCCAAATACCCAATACTGATTAGTTATAACACTTCTGTGGATTATGATTTTCTTATTTGTGTTTGCTCCTGGGCTTTCACTAAATTTAGTTTGGTTTACTTTCTTTGCTTCATAGCAAAATTTAATTTAATAACAAATAGGACTGTACCACAGTTTTCTTATGAACATAAAAAAGCAGGCAGGTTTTGATTCCTAATATATTCAGATGCTCTACATAAGGGAAACTGACATGTTTTATTTTCTAACTTCCCAGTATATCAACTGCAACAAGAAGCCCCTCATCCTCGGAGAATTACCTGTACTAATGAGGTGGGTGTAATGAAACCATTACAACGAAATGTCTCTCAATCATTTGTTTCCCAAACTTTGACCTTCCTCAGTGACATGGTTATTTGTGGGATTAACTTTTGATGCTACTTAGCATCATAAAATCGTAACTTGAATGCATTTTTCTTAACATCTTCTCACTTGAAATAACTACCACTTTCTAATGGACTGTTTGGAACACAGGATAGAATAAGACAGTATAGTTTTAAGTGATGTTAGTATTCTTTTCAGTGAATTTTTACATTCTTCCATTTTTTAGTGTTTTATTCTTTACTTTTTAAAACAGAGTTTGAAGGCATCATTGTAGCATTATTAAAGTAATTTTTCCATTAAAAAAAGATCTAAATCATGATTTTAAAAAGCAAAAGTCAAAAGCAAAATCATGGACAGTTCACCAAAAGAGATATGACATATATGACATGACAGTATATGAAAAGATGTTCAACTTCATTAATAATAGAAATGCAAATTAAAATACACAGTGAAAATTTTCACTTTTCAGATTGGCAAAAGTTCAAAAACATAGAATATACCCCTTAGCTGGTAAACCTGTGAGGAAATAGGCACGCATATATTGCTGATGGGAATGTGAAATGCTACAACTTTATGAGAGTTTTGTAATATCTAACATCTGCATTTACCCTTTGACCTACCAGTCCAAATTCTAGAGATTTACTCTGATGAATTGCCTGTACAAATATGGAATAGCATGCGCTCAAAGTTTTTCATTGTAGGATTATTTGTAATAGCAGAATATTGGAAAAAATCTAAATGCTCATAGGCGACTGATTGAATAAATTATAATACTAAAAAGAAGAAGGAAGATTTCTACGAGCTGATATGGAATGATTTCCATATGCAAAATGTATATATAGTAATTATGGTCCCTTTTTAGTAATAAAGAAGGGAAAATAAGAGAAAAAGCTTATTTTTGCAAAAGAGAAACACAGGAGAGTTAACACAGATACGAGTGAAATAGTTTTCCATAAGGAGTGGGTGAGGATCAATGTAGAGGGGATAAGGATGGAAGTGAGATTCCTCTGAGGGTGTGTTTTTATATAGTTTTGACTTTTGAACTATGCAAGTGTTTCACATATTCAAATAACCAAATTAAATAAAAATGATTTTAAAAACCCTAAAATTGAATACAGATAGAAACAAATGAACCTAACAAATTCATAACATAATCACTCAAAATTAATTTAAGTAGTTTTTAAACATATTATTTTGGCTATACAAATACAGAGGGAAATATTCTAAGATCCATAACCTACAAAAAGATCTTTTAACTATAGTTATTAGATTTGTTGTTGTTAGTGGTACTTGTTTAGAAATTCTGCAGTTATTTTGTTATAGGATAGAGCAAATAAGTAATTATATTGGATTTTAGGGAACCAAGGTTTTTAGGAGATATTAATATGGAATAGGGGAAATTGAGAGGCACACTGTGGTATTGAATTTGAATTGGAGGTATTAATAAATACCTATGACATCACAGATTTTTAAAAATGTATTTTCCATCTCAGTTTATGGAAAGGGCTTAGAAGCAGTGATGCCCCAGTAAGAACGAATAAACCCAGTGTCCAAATTTTAGTTTCCAAATACTGTTTGCTACTAAAAGGAGCCAGTGCTCCTTAGAGAAATTCCTGATTGTAGAATATGGGGCAGAGAGGTCCAGGAACATCTTATGTCAGAAAGCAAGAAGGGCTCAAAAATGGATGAGGATGTGTCAAAAACACATAGGAGCCCACTTGAAGAGTTCCCAAAAGCAAAATTTGGGACCATTTGACATCAAAAAGAATAATGATAGTAATGAATTACAACACATTGAATGAAAAAAGAATGTGTAAGTCTATAATGATACTTACCAAAAAAACCTATCCCAATACAAAGAGGGAAAAGAAAGGGGAGAAAGTTGTTCTTTCCAGCACTAGTGCCTAAAAATGTAGAAAGAATGATAATGATTTGCACTGATAATTGAGTCAGGCAAGGATCACCACTAGACGTTAAAACATTGAATAAAAGGTTGTAGGTAAACAGAATAATCACATGGTCTTGATTATTTATGAACTGCAAAGAGAAAAATATTTTCATCTTTATAGTGGAGAAGTCTAACAGTCACACCTTTAGTCAGGTGATCAAATTTAGCATTACCTGCAATGGGACAGACTGACACGTGTCTCCTAAATGATGCAATGAAACATACGCAACATCATTTATGTAGTATTTCTGCCTAAAATGTTTAACTTAAATCTGTTTATGAAGTATAAGTCAGACCAATCCAGAATGTGTACATTCTGTAAGACAACTGTTCTGGGCTTTTAAATAATTTCATTTTCATAAAAGAAATAACAGTTGTGGGACCATTCTAAAGTAAAGGAGACTAAAGAGGCATGCCAACCAAATGCAATGCATGCACCTCGATAGAGTCCTGGTTTTATACATATATATATGTTTTCTTTTTTAAAGCTACGCATTCTGGGTACAGTTGGAGAAATTTGAATGTGGACTATATATTAGGTAATATAAAGTTGTGGTAACTTTCTTATGATATACTGTTGAAAAGAATTGCGTCTTCATTGTTTAAAAAAATGTTGAAATGGATTTTGTTATTGTGACATCTGGTTTAAAAAAACATTAAATAACTGAAAGCACAGAGTCACAAAGGAATGAATTTACAAAATTAGGCAGGGATTTCATGAGATTACCTTTTATTTATTTATTTTTGGCTGCATTGGGTCTTCGTTGCTGCGTATAGGCTTTCTCTAGTTGCAGTGAGCGAGAGGCTACTCTTCACTGCGGTGTGCAGACTTCTCATTGTGGTGGCTTCTCTTGTTGTGAAGCACGGGCTCTAGGCACGCAGGCTTCAGTAGTTTCAGCACGGGCTCAGTAGTTGTGGCATGCGGGCTCAGTAGTTGTGGCGCATGGGCTTAGTTGCTCCGAGGCATGTGGGATCATCCCGGACCAGTGCTCAAACCCATGTACCCTGCGTTGGCAGGCAGATTCTTAACCACTGCGCCACCAGGGAAGTCCCGAGATTACCTTCCCCCCGCCCCCCCGCACCTACCTCCTTAACCACTCCTTCTCAATCCTGGAAGGGCATCAGAATCACCTCTAGATCCTTTAAAAACATACATATGTTCAGGCTCCTTCTCAGACCTTTTGAAGTATGATCTTTGGTAACGGAGCTCAGAAATCTGTATGTATAGGAAGCCCACAAATGATTCCGACCTACAGAGATGTTAAGTCAGCACACTTTTCTTTAAAATCTTTGAAAAAAGAGGATACTTCATGCATGCCCTGGTATGGAGTAATCTCCTGGAGGGAGACCTGGAGTACTCAGCCCTCCCACAGGTGAGTCATCACCAGCTAGGTACTGAGGCCGCACAGAGACCAGACTCCATTTGGCCCTTTACTCATCTTTGAAGATTCTGCTGTGTTGCCCACTGCTGCTGAGACTGGTATATGTTTAGCACTGCAAGTCTTTAGTTATGATATTGCAAAAAATAACATCTTGAAGATGTTTTGACAAATAAATTTGACTTTTGAGTTATTCCTGAGAGAGTTAAAAAGAAAGTTCCAAGGAGTTTCTGAGGAGAGATTGTTCAACTAAGCTTCTACATTGCTGATTTTGCTTTAGGTAGTTACTTGTGCTACTACTTTATCTGCTTATTAGCAAATTGAAGTTTTTCTTCTTCATTTATCCTTGTCTGCTAGAAATGCTTGTCATTTTCCACCCGTACAGGTTCTGATGACTTCACTTTACTCATCCTCTCAAATATTCATCTTTGAACTAAGATGAGCTCTTTATTCATGGGCATAAAGAGAGACGATTAGTAGTAATGGTCTCGTGTTTTTTCGTTACATTTCTTGTTTGTTTGTTTGTTTGTTTTTGCGGTACGCGGGCCTCTCACTGTTGTGGCCTCTCCTGTTGCGGAGCACAGGCTCCGGACGCGCAGGCTCAGCGGCCATGGCTCACGGGCCCAGCCGCTCTGCGGCATGTGGGATCCTCCCGGACCAGGACACGAACCCGTGTCCCCTGCATCAGCAGGCGGACTCTCAACCACTGTGCCACCAGGGAAGCCCTCCATTACATTTCTTAATCATGTCTTAGTTCACTATGATGATCCACCATTTTCTCTGTTTCAGAGAACTGTCAAAATTGTCAACTATCATGTATTGAGGGCTATGATTTGTATAGGACAAGTTTAGAAGCTTGAATACCAATAGTTTGTCAAAGGTCCTGTTTCAGTAGAATCATAGGATGTTTTAAGAGACCATCCAGTCCAACATCTATACTGTATCTCTGAGATAGCTTTGTGCCTTCCAGGGGAATTAATGACTTCGTTGTAGCCATTCTGTCTTCAAAGAGCTCTAGCTGAAAGAAGGTTTGTTCTTCAGCTGTATTAAATGCTCTCTCTCTGAACCTTCTAGTTTCAATTCTAGTTTTGTCCTTGGACTTTTGCAGAATCAGTCAAATCCTTCCCCACATAACAACCTTAGGAAACTTAAACTTTAACCTTCAGAAACTTGATGCTGCACCTAAATTTCTCTTCTCAAGCGGCAAAATGAGTTACTCATAAGCATTGTTTTCCAGAATAGACATACCAATCACAACCAAATACGTTATTGAGAGAGTTGGCAAAGACCTGAATCATAATCACTTGTCTGAAACTGGGTCTTTTCCTGTTTCCTTTCCCCTCTTCTAGTGCCAGTTCATTTAATTCTGTTCTGTTCCTGGCCTCTTAGATAAACTTAACTTCACATTTTATTTTATTTGATAAGAATACTGGTGAAAGACAGCAGAATCTTCTAAGAGAGTTATTTAAAATAACTAGAAATTAATATTTCTGAAGGACACTTTAAGGTCCAAAAGCCACCTTTAGTAAATGAGTGCACAAAGGCATCCTGCCAAGCATTTGGGGAGATCCATAACTGTTGCAGTGCTTTAAAGCAATTCTGTGATTAGTATTACAGAAAGA